TGTTGGGTTCACTGGAGGGTTTGCAGGTGGGTTATCCACCATTGCTGCGGGTGGCTTTGGCTTGTCGCGTCGAGAGAGTGCGAGGAGAATTTCGTTTAATTTCTCATTAAGTCTTTCCTCCACCTTAATGATGTTACGATCTAGACGAGCGATGTTATCGCTATTCCCAGAGGTTTGGGTATTCATGTTATGGACATCGCCCCTCAAGTTGGCGATGTCGTCGTCGACTTGGTCAATGCGATTTCTTAGTACTCGTGCCATTTCAGACGCGAGGGAGTGGGTTGGGGATGGAGGATGTGACGTGTGCATTGGGACGTATGCCGCAAGAGTCTCAGCTGCTAGGGCTTCAGACATTGTGACTTGGTCAACATCTCTCATGTAAGTGAGACATGTCCCTGGGCCCTTGCAGGCCCAGATCACCACCATCACTTGAGGTGGTGTCATCCTCCGCCCTATGGCCAGTGGAGGGGCCGGCTGTGTTGGCGGGAGCGTTGGACATACTCCTGGTGTTGTATTTCCATGACATCAAGAAGATGTGTCGAGTCGTTCAACAAGTTCGCATGAGAACTTGATCAAAGTTGCACGTTGTCAGGGGCCAACGATGCGCGCATTGCCAAATGGGGTTTCGGCACCGGTAACATGGTGCTGAGAATGGAAAAGAGAATATAGCATAAAAAAGTGAAAGGTATCTTACTAGTTTGGGGACGGTAACGTTCCATTCCCCCATTCGCCTCAGGCCTCAGTTGTCCGTCTAATTATACGCTTTGATTTGCTGCATATTAACAGGGTAGAAGTAAAGGCTGATCTGCCTTTTACAGCTACCCCGAGGGTTTATATACAATCTAATGCATTCTTGGCACAAATAAATAGAGAAGCTTCCATGATGCTAAATTAGCATTGCGACATAATTATTACACAACACAACATCAACTGATGTTGTGAGCGGAATATAGACATGGGCCAGGGCCTCACATTTGCCCTCCCTACCTCCTTTCAGTTATACCGCAGAGGCTAACCCATGGCCTTCAGTACCGCTCCATTTCCATCATCCCCTTGTCTCTGTTTGGATGCCTTTGTTCTGATTCAGACCCCCCTTTGATTTCCTTGTGCTTTCATCTCTCCACTATATACAGGCACTTGTACATACTCATTTTGGACCTTCAGTCTAAAATCGACTAGAAATGCCCCCTAGAGACTTCCTGCTCACTGCTTCTGAAATTAAGGACCAAATGGACAAACAGCAATGGCACAGCGCTCCCCTTGAGTCGCTGAGGCCAAGGTCCCTCCTTGCTAAGTCTCCAGTTCCCCTCCAGAACCGTCTGCCCCAGCCTAGTTCTAACAACCAAGTCATTTTGGTTGAGTCATATCTGATGAAGTCATCTGGGCAAGTCAGTAGCACTTTCTAGAACAAAAGCTTGTAAATACTCTATTGCATGTAAATAGTGCAAAGCATGGGAAAGAAAGGTCTTGAAAGGTATAAAAGGACCATGATTTCGCTCTTTTTGTAGCCCCTCAGAGAAGTAAGAAAATAGAGTAATATTTCTCTCAAGCACTTCTGGTTCTCACTCCAGTGTGAAAAAGTGATGAGACAGTTAAGTTTGCCACTGTACAAAAGGAAACAACAGTGTGATAAGTGAGATAGGAGAAAACAGTAGTATCTCTCCACACATAGGAGTAATCCTCCCTAAACTAAAAAGTGGTAAAATTAGGTGAATTCTGACTGAGAGCTGAACAGACCAGAGTTGGCTCAGACAGACAGAATTATTTGAACAGCTCTGCAGGATGTTTGATTGTTTGATTTTTCTATAGCACACTGAACTGTTGAAAAAGCAACCCAAACACTAACACAGCACCGTACTTCAACAGGTACACTCCCCCACAACCAGGAACAGGGAAAACTGCACTCTTGGTTCCGCTCCTTCAATGGATATGACAGAGTAGCCTTATAGCTAAGTGTTCACTCACACCGCATACTCTGCTCTGCTTCCTGTAAATACCTCAAATACTGTTTCTGACACTTTGACTGCATGTAGAATTTTTGTAAGATAGGTGATGTGCACAAGTGATTACCCTCCAGATACAAAATATTTGAAAACTAACCAGGCCCTCTGCCTGCAACACAACACTGTTTGACTATTTCTAGGCCCTAAGTTATGTAAAGTACACCCTAAAGAAGACCTCCTGGGTCGCTGAATTTTGATATCTCAACTCAATCAAAATGAGATGATGAAATGGGTGTTGATGCTGGGAATCAACTTTCTTCTCAATCCCTATGCATTTGAAACTACAATCGAAAAATTAGCTCCCAGCGTTTTGGTGGCCGGGGCATACCAGATCCAATTGAATCAGGAATTACTGATTTCCAAAAGAGGGAAGTAAATGTTAACTTGCCCTTTCTCTGCCTCCGCCTGCCTCTGTGCCTTACTCCATCATGCCTATAAGCAAAAAACACAAGCATGCAAATAACCTTGGACACTTCTCCCAGGAGAAGTCAAATAATTGTGAACTGGGACCATCTCACCTGTTTTCAGAAATTGCACACTAATGTTCCTATTGAAGGATTGAAGGATTAGATGGAATGGGCTCAGGTGCCTTTCCAGATCATGGGAGCTTCTTGGATGGGACTAGCAGCAGTGTTTCATTTGGTGTTGGCACTGGAGAATGTGGCTCTGTTGACTTGACTGGTAGTCCTGACTCTGATAGCGACTCTGATATAGATGAAATATCAAACCCCGCAATGTCATCCGAAAACACATTTATTCAATATCTTCATGAGTCTCAGACTGTCAGAGACCAGAAATGGGATGAAGGAGACGTCCCTGTGGTGGAGGGCTTTGGCCTCAGTGACTTAGACCAGGAGCACTGTGCCTAGTTACACATCCATGCCCTAATTTACTAACTGGCAATGAGAACTGGAAGGGGGAAACTCTAGTCAATTTTATCACTGGGGTGTAACCTATCTACAAGTTATGTATATATAGTTACATAGAGGGCAGGCCCATGAATGGTGGGACTGAGCAGAGCGGAGCTAACAGAGTTACATGTTAGCTGACTGAATATTCCCGATGAGTCCGGTTATGGGGTTAGTGGAGTGGCAGGCTATAACCCAGAAACAGAAAGGAGGGATCAGCCCGAAGGTAGGCTTGCAGGGCAAGCAAGTGAATTGCCCAGCAGAGGTGGGAGTGCGCTAGCGGACATCGGAGCTGTCTGGAGGCCTTTGGGACTCCATACTTAGGGAGGTGTAGGTAAGGGGTGGTGACCATCAAGGGAGTCAGAGGTGATTGTGGAATATGGAGGCTCCAAGGTTAGTGATGAAGGAGTGGAGGTAATCCAGAAGGACCAGAGGTAGTGAGGATGATGGCTGTGGATGGATATGACACAGACAAAGCTTGGTTACCTGGCCAATGTCTGTGGCAAGATACCCAGCAACAAAGTGATATACCCTGGAAAAACCATAAACAGCACCTGGTCTGAGCGCAGTCTATGCTGGGATAAGGCAAAAGAGAAGGAGGTTCATAAGGGACTCCAGGAGAAGCCAAGGAAGACCACTATTGATGGAAAGAAACTGTCAGGTCACAGTCCATGTATGTAGGGGGTCACATGACCCAGGGAGGTCACGATCGTCCTACCCACTGTGAATCATACATATTTGATACTCACAGCTGGGTTCTAGGACACCCACCTTACACTTTTTTGAGTACTTTTTGTCTGATATCACACTGATCCCTGGCATCGCTAGGAACCACCACAATTTTATGTGGAAACAAGTGAGTTCACACCTTCATTCAAATTCCACTTGCCACTCCGGCAAGCAAAAGACCCTTGCAACTAGCAAGGAGACAAAACCCCCAGTCAATAAGACTGGGAAACAGGTGAAAGTCCTGCCAGCACAACCCCTTATGTGCCAGGCAGAGCTGTCACCTGTAGCAGGAGAACCTCACTTTCGTGAGGGTGCGCAAATTCAGTCATCAGAAGAACCCTTGCTTTTGCAAGGAGATGACTTCTCCTGCACTTCACCCAACTCAGTTGGGTACAAAGGCTTCGTGTGATGCCTCCCAGTTGCGCAGGGAGCCAAATCCAAGCCAAACTTACGTGGCAAAACCTGCCATGTCACATCAGCAAAAGTCCGTTATGCTCCGGAGCATCAAGAGTGGCTGGAGCATGTGGGAGACAAAACAGCAGATTGGGCACTCCTGGAGCCAATAGTGTTCTCCTGGGAGGGGGTTCAGGAGCAGCTGGGAGTGGTGAGGAGTATGTAATGTGCCAGGAACAGTGGGAGGAAAATTTTGGTCTCTAAAAAGTTGAAAAAAAAAATTTAGGGAAAAATCAAAAAAAAAAATCAGGAACTATAGTGCCTTTAAAGTGCTTTCAGGACATATAATTATTTGCAAAATTGAGGAAGAAATGATGGAGAAGAATGGAAAATACTTTCGGAGACCCGAGAAATAATGAGAACTGAATTGATGGGAAAGTCTGAAAATTGAATAGGAAAGTGAGGGGAAGCCTTGTAAGCATTGTTATTTTCTGCTGTTCTGATTTTTCCCAATTCTTCTTGGTCTCATTCCCAGCTGCTCCTCAATACTCCTGGAAGCTCCTGAAAGCTCCTGGGAGGGTCTAGGAGCAGCTGGGAGTGAGACCAAGAAGAATCAGGAAAAATCAGAACAGCAGAAAATAACAATGCTACAAGGCTTCCCCTCACTTTCCTATTCAATTTTCAGACTTTCCCATCAATTCAGTTCTTGGGTCTCCAAAAGTATTTTCCATTACAGTCATTCACGTGCCAATGGCGCACCTTTTGTAATTTCGACACTATAATTTGAGATCTGCCCTCCAAAAAATAAAAAAAATCCCAATAGTAGCCAGACTTATAATGTACCTACTGTCCAAAATTGGATGAAAAAGAATGAGAAATGAAGGAGAATAAATGCAGGTGAGCAAATGGGCCTTTCACGGCTTAATGGTTCAGTGTGACATAGTGTGACCTTGAATTTCCCACGCCAGATCGATCCCCGTTCACTGCTCATCGGCGTCGCAGATGGGTTCCTCCACTCCTTTTCCACACTCTTTCACTGTATCCGACGGCGAAATTACCAACTGAGGATAATTTTCTGCCATCCAGTCTTTTTTTGTGACCGCTTTTGGCTTTTTTGGCACCTTCTGTTTCAGCGCTTGCAGCTGTTCCTTCTGCACTTTCCATGCTGCCTCACCGACTTTCTGGTGTCTCTGAAATTCCTCCCAGCCCTTCTGTGCCTCCTTCTTTGCCTTCTCCACCGCGTCCTCCATTTCCCTCTTCTTGGCTCGATCACTCTGCTGCTGAATAAATCCCTCATGTGTCACCATGCGCCCAAACACACCTTTGATCCGACCACCTTCCTCCTTGTTTTTCTCTCCCTCCTCACGGGAAAGAAGCTGAGTCCAAGCCTTTGATACGTACATCCCAGAAAGTGCTAACTGTGCATTTGTTGCATCTATGGCATCAACAGCGCTTGTCACATAATCCCTTGCATTTCGAAATGCAGCTTGTGTCTCACACAATTCAGCAATCAGCTCTTCATGAGTTTTCTTCTCATATTCCGTGTCCTCAGCAAGGCCCCATTGGATGTTTTGGAGGCTTCTGCCATCACCATATACCCGCTCTGGGAGTTTAAATGTCGAAGAAAGTAGCAGCTGCATTGCGACCCTGTCCTCCCTTGAGTCTCCGTAGAAATGTAGTATATGGGACCCTGCATTCCAATGCATATTCTCGTGCACTAACAGCCTGCCGGCCTTCCTGCTGAGCGCGCGCTAATTCAGCACGATATGAAGCAAGAGTTTGCAGCATGTGCTCCTCTACTGCTTGAGATGCCTTTTGCTTTCTCATTCTCAGGGAGTCTGCATGTCGAGCCATTAAGGAAATCGCAAATGCAGAACAGGAAATGGATGTGTGAATAAGGGAAGCACGGATGTAAACCCAGGTCCGGCAACTGCTTGTTCACCAAAACAAACAAACATTGGCACATGTGCTGATGGCCTTCTGCTCCTGAGTAACACCCCAACCCCCAGGTCATACTTTATTGTCATTTCCCTACTTCTGGAATGTACAGGATGCGCAACCCTCATATTTACCATTTTCCACACTAATAACTACTATAACTCCTTCATTACATGTCCGATCAGCTCAAATTTTTGCATAGTTGTAGCTGTAGTCATTGCATACAAGCTTGAAAAAAATGAAGAAATATGACTATGAAATAAGGATGCTATGGGCATATTAACCATTGAGGGGTGAAAACCATTGGCACGTGAATGACTGTAGCTGCTCCTGGTATTAGAATGGGCGGATTCGGACGACTCCGGAGTGGAATCGGAGACTTAGCATGGAAGGACCTCGGCCTCAGCGACTCAGGCGGAGCGCTGTGCCATTGCTGGTTGTCCTGGGGGTCCCTAATTTCGGATCTAGCAGAGGGAAAGTCTCTTGGGGGAATTCAAGTCGATTTCGGACTGAGGTTACAAGTTACTATGTACATTGTATATAAGGAGGGGTCCGGAATCAAAAGGAGCGAGGGTAGGATGAAAGGAGACAAAGGGAGATGGAAAGAGGAACAACACCGAGGGTCAAGGGTTTGACTCAATGGTGTTTCTCAAAGGAGGAATGAAGGGCCAAGGCCCAAGGAGGAAGGAAGGAGGTTGGGAGTGGGGAATGGCTAGCTGACTGAATAGAAAGGAAGCAGCAGCCCAAATAGGAATGAGGGAGAATAGCGGAATTGAAATGGACAATGCAATAGTTGCAAGGTCCGGAGTAAGTCCGGAAAGTCCGAACTCGGAGGTTAAACTCCGGAATATTGGCAAAGGTAATTAAATGGAATGAGCTAACCAATACAATGGGTATAAGCAGAGGTGGGGTCAAAGTCCGAGGTCGGAGCTAAGACCGGAGGTTCCGGAGACGGAGACGCGAATGGGATTCCGGAGCGGAGGTCTGGAGTCAGGAGCTTAGGTTTTGCGTACTCGTCTGGAAGGTATCGAGGTTGGGGTCGGACCCGGAATGTTCCGGAGTTGGACCAAAGGTGGTGTCCGAGCCGGAGGTGGGATAACCTCTTGGGAGTCGGCAAGGAGAAAGTGACGGAAGGGAAGTAGGGCTCCGGAAGTCGGAGTTCGGAGTTCCAGGAGCCCGGAGCGGAGGTCGGGATTGTATGGATATGACACCTTGTTGTTATGTAGCTCTCAGCGGGGACACTTGGATAACGGGGGAACAACCGACTTGATATTGTAACTGCACAGCAGTATAAGTAGTTAAAGTAATAACACGGATATCAGACAAAAGTGATAAGAAAATGAGATACGCGACAGCGCTACATGTGGAAGGCAATCAACAGTGAAACACGAAACACATGGTAAAAGGGTATCATATCGGATAGCCGATATGGGCATGATATGCGTACTGGCACGTCGTCATGTCTTGCTCAAACAACACACCTGGACCCTCCCAGGAGCTTCCAGGAGTATCCAGGAGTATCCAGTAGCAGCTGGGAGTGAGACCAAGAACAATCAGGAAAAATTAGAACAGCAGAAAATAACAATGCTACAAGGCTTCCCCTCACTTCCCTATTCAATTTTCAGACTTTCCCATCAATTCAGTTCTCATTCTTTCTCGGGTCTCCGAAAGTATTTTCCATTTTTCTCCATCATTTCTTCCTCAATTTTGCAAATAATTATATATCCTGAAAGCACTTCAAAGGCACTACAGTTCCTGAATTTTTTTGATTTTTTCCCTAATTATTTTTTTCAACTTTTTAGAAGTCCCTATTTTTCAAATTTTCCTCATTTCCCTCTATATCCCCCCTCATTCCCCCCTCATTCCCCCCTCATTCCCCCCCTCATTCTCCCCCTCATTTCCCCCTCATTTCCCCCTCATTTCCCCCCCTCATTCTCCCCCATTTCCCCCTCTCCCATATTCTGCCAGCCCGAAAGTGATTAAGTTGCCAGATTAATCATATATCAGGCCATAAATTTTGATTGTGTATTGGTGAGTCTCAGTGTCCTTGATATATAGTATAGTGTTTGATCTAAATGTCTTGTTGTGTTAGTCTTGTGGTAGGAGGTATTCATGGGGGATCTTCCCTCTTTTTTTTTCCTTTTCATTTTCAAATGCTCCAGGAGCTCCCAGAAGCTTCTCACCCCTATACACTTTGAAGCATTTAAATTGTATTTACTGGATATGTTTGTGCACAAAGCAATGCTCCAGGCCCTCCTGGGAGTGCCCTGGAGTACCTAGCCAACTCCGGAGGAAATGGGCTGTTCCTGGACCAGCCAATCTCCTCCTGATTCTCCCAGTGCTCTCGATACTCCGGAGCACTCAGGAGCATAACAATTTTTTGCTGATGCATCATTTATGCCTGGGCTCCTCCACCCAGGCCTCAAAGCATTACTCCTCCCATTCTATGTGATGGGAAGGCATCAGAAGCAACCAAACGATTGCTCCTGCTCACACAGGGAGCTGTTTGGAGCTCCAGAAAATGTGGAAAAATCGTCCACATCTTCAGATTCGTCTCGCGTCACCTGCACAACATCCAGCTTGCAATATTGCAGCAAGCTGGTTCACTCCCAAGTCTATTTGACTGGGAGTTACACAAAACCATCAATTGATCACTCCCACTGGCACAGGGAGCCGTTTTTGATTCCAAAAAATGTGGGAAAATCTTCCACATCTCCAGCATCGTCTCGCATTAACCGCAAGACGTCCAGATTGCAATATAGCAGCAATCTGGTTCACTCCCCAGTCTATACAACTGGTAGTTGTCATGAACAACCAAATGACTATTCCTGCTTATGCAGGGAGCCGTTTGGAGTTCCAAAAAATGTGGAAAAATCGTCCACATCTACGGAATCGTCTCGCGTCAGCCGCGAAACGTCCAGCTTGCGATATAGCAGCAAGCCAGCTCACTCCCCAGTCTATGCGACTGGTAGTTGTACAAATCGATCAAACAACAGCTCCTGCCAGCACAGGGAGCCGTTAGTGATCGCAAAAAATGTGGAAAAAACTTCCACAGTGTCTACATCGTCTCACATTAACTGTGAGACGTCCAGCTCGCAAAATCGCAGCATGCTGGTTCAATCCCAGTCTATGTGACTGGGAATTGTGCAAAACAATCAAACAACAACTCCTGCTCGCGCAGGGAGCCGTTTTTGATTGCAAAAAATGTGGAAAAAATCTCCACATCGTTGTTACCATCTCACAGCCATAGTGAGATGTCCAGCTCGGTGCCTAGGTGCGAGCCGGTCCAAACCCCAGTCTACAAGACTGGGAATCATCCAAAACACTCATGGAATGTCCTCCACTTGCACAGGGAGCCAGTCCGGAGTGAAAGAAATGTGGAAAAAATCTCCACATGGCGGTCATTGTCTCACAACTGCAGTGAGACTAGCACTGTAGGAGAAATAATGGTCACACTATGGAAACCCATTATGGAAATATGCCAGATAAATCACAAAACCCCATACGACAAGTAGATATGAGAAAATAGAAGGACCTGAATTTTAACGAATTTTAATGAATTTTTATGAATTATTACGACTACATACGCGAAAAATTGAAAGAAAGAAAATTAGCAAAAATGCTTCAAGCTTAGCATCAACAAGACGAAATTTTCGGGGGAATTTATAGCAAATATTAAACAAAGAATTAGGACAATCGACCAAGATTTGACTCTAAAAACAATCAGAGAACCTCCATGGAAACTGCTTTCCTGTCATATCCATGCATACCCAATCCCGACCCGACTCCCAGACCTCCTCCTTCACCACCTCCGGAGTCCTACCCTACCGCTGTCCGTTCCGATATTCACCTTCAGTCCTGGCACCACACCTCCTCTCACCTCCCATGCCACCTCCACTCCTCCATCCCACTCCTCCCCTATCTCCGTCCGCTCCAATACTCACCTTGGACTGAACACCACCCCTCTCGCCACCCTCCTACTACTCCTCCTCCTACTCCTCCGCTCCCTCCTCACAAACACCTCCACCCTTCCGTTGTAACAGGTCTATCAATCTAGACTCGTGGCTCAGGTCCGGGGGGGGTAGGTCTCTCTCTCTCTCTGGGGTAGATGTGGGTCCTGCGAGTACGGTGCTGATACTCCGTCTAACCTCTAACTAACTGTCTGTACAGTTGTCATGGAAGAGTCTGATAGAAATATAAAAGGAAAGTCACATGCGTGAATGGATGAAAATAGTAAAGACAATAAAGAAAATGTCAGATCTCCTCAACCACTCCACCAAATCCGACGATCTTGGCCTCTTCAGAACCATCTCCACAGTCTCTACAACTCCTACTATTACCACGACTCACCAATCCTAGTCCCTGATGCAGTAGGGGGTGAAATGTGCGATAAGTGTTGGTTTGACCTGCACGGACTTGTCCCCACAACACCGTCATCCTCCTACTCTTCTCCTGTCCACTCCGATACTCACCTTCGGACCTGACAACTCTCCCTTCCACCACTCCTTCCCTCTTCCCTCTCTCCTCTCTCTTCCCTCTGGTCCTCTCCTGCCAACCTCCTGCCAAGTTACAACCTTCCGCCATTGTCCCGTACTTCGTACTCAGACACTGCTCGTACCTTTGCTCCGAGCCTCCATCATAGTCCCTACCTCGGACTTTGACTCCACCTTGGTCTTAGTCCATTGCATTGGTGACCTCATACTACGTAAACACCATTGCCAATATTCCTCAGACTTTCAACCCCGCCTCCGTAACCTCCATAACCTCCGAGCTCCACGGATCACCTTCAGCACTTTCACCGCTTGTAATGTATCTCTCGCATTTTCCCCTCATCCCTATTTGGACTGCTGCTTCTGCCCATTCTAGCCAGTTAGTCATCATCCCCACTTCTCCTCATCCTCCTGCCCCTCTGGGCCTCTCCCTCCTTACCTCCTTTCAGACGTATCACAGGTTCTGCCTTATGACCTTTGGTACCGCTCCACTTCTGTCACCCCCTTGTTCCCATTCAGACACCTTCATTCCGATTCGGATCCCCTTTGTTTCCTTGTGCTTTTGCCCCCTCCATTATATATATTGGCACTTGTACATACTCGTTTTAGCCCTTAGTCTGAAATCGACCTGAAATGCCCCCTAGAGACTTCCTGCTCGCCTACTGTGAAATTAAGGACCAAATGGACAAACAGCAATGGCACAGCGCTCCCCTTGAGTCGCTGAGGCCAAGGTCCCTCCTTGCTAAGTCTCCAGTTCCCCTCTGGAATTGTCTGCCCTCACCCAGTTCTAACATTTCCCATGTCTGCACATGTAGCCAACGATGGAAGTACCACGGAACAAGGATTCCTCAGGAACTAATGCAAAAGTCAAAGTCGTGTTTATAATAGGAAATGTAGATGTCCCCCAAACGAACCCAATGAAAGTAATTACAGGAAAAACTACCTATAAACGACGGAGATATGACTAAAACTCCCGCAAAATGAGGACAACGTTTAAAAAGCAAGCGTGAAGACTAATCAGTAACGACCGAGACGAGCTTGATGACCCATTAGCAAGGAGGGGATCTAATCTTAATCCACCCAAATTTTCATAATAAAAGGATCACGCATTAATGTGATATCCAATAACGGGAATAGCGACATCAAAAGTCCGAGCTCAGGGAAAAGACAATGTTTATGAAGGATCCATAATTAAAACATACAGGAAAATTTACACGGAAATTATGAAAAATAGGGAACTATAGTTATGCAAATTTTCAGCCCAAACGGTCCAGCTGTTGTGAAGTTATACCCACGACGGGAATATAGAAATCCGCATCATGTTTAATGACATGTGAGGGTGGCAATGCGAAGGGAACTGGCCATTGGAACCAAGATCCACACTTTGGCAGATTGCAAGGGCCAGTTTCCGTCCAAATAAGGAAGAGCCTGGTCAAAACAAAGCACAGAAAGTGCAAAACAACCTTAGATCATGAGGGAAAAATCTGAAATAAATCACAGAAGCCCATATGAAGGATACAAACACCCGCACATACCATAAATCCTGAACAATTAAACAGACATGCTGCCTGCATACAAACGACTATGGGAACGATGCACGTGATTACCGAATGTGTGCACGAACTTTTGCTAACTCGACGAATACCAGGAAATGGAACACAACTTTAGTACCATTGGAAAGGTGGGAATAAATGAAAATTTATGATACCAAGAACGTGAGAAACCATCCAGAAATGAATGAGAAACAAGGGCATGAAGTTAGAAACCTGATAATGCGCGGGAAGACAGCTTCAAGAGGTCCAGAGGCCTAAATAAAATACATAAAAATATGATATCTTCGAGGACGACCTACTATAACAACAAACAATACATATGGAGGATTAGGATGTGATAATACAAAGGGGAATCAGGGAAGATGAACGAAACCCACGAAAACCACTAAACTATGACGGACCATGGTGGGAATTTTAGGGAACAATATTCTAATGAAGTGGAGAGCTATAATACATTTGTTTGAGTAATTCTTGACTACTAGCAACTTTTTCTTTCGGTTTTAAACCAGAATAATTCACTCATTTACCATTTCAGTCTCATTTTAACTAAATGTCACTAAATAAAAATGGAATAAATCAGCTGAAGGTCTCAGCACAGCCGTACGCATAGTAATGCGAAGTTTGAATTCAGAATCACCGAGTCATAGCAAATTTAATGGTATATATAAGGAATTTGAAATAGGTAACTGCGACAAATGCAGTGCAGCCAAGTTCTAATCAACTATTAAAATAGCTTAGGCAAGGGAGGACAATAAGGATTCTAGGTGCAGTCTGACCACAGTAGAACTGCAGTTCAGTGCAGTAGAACTATAGCGTGAAAATTTCATTTTTTATTCAGTTTGAGAAAAATACACTGTAAATAAATCCTGTAAATAGAAGGTAGAGCGTGAAAAAGGAAGGCAACCCAAGGAGTATAAAAGGGAGACCCTTTCTGCGACTTTTCGCCCCCCTTAGAGAAGTAAGAAAATAGAGTATCATTTTTCTCAAGCATTTCTGGTTGTCACTCCAGCACGAAAAAGTGATATACAGTTAAGATTGCCACTGTAGTAAAAGGCAGCAATTAAGGAGAGAAATATTAAGTAGATCTTTCAATAGGAGAGCTGGTTAACACTCCAGATTTCAAAGTGTAAACACAAAACAGTTATTTTGCTACTGTTAAAACAAGCAATAAAATAAGACAAAAATAAAACAAACTCAAGGGACACTCCAGACACAATCTAAATCCATTAACTGAGTAGAATCTTTGAAACTTCACCAAGTAGAAGATTTAAATTCCAAATTAAACAATGCTACACAGAGTTACACCTAGACAAATTAAGAAATCTCAATAAAGGAACAGCTGGGTTGGTTTATCTGTAAGTCAATTCCCAGAAACTTTAGACTAACCCATAAAAATAGAATTAGCCAAAACACTCGGATTGGTACTATATTTATGACAAATAATACTAGTACACTTCCCCATCCTAACTAAAGAACCAGGGAACAGCTTGGCGGTGGTCTCATTTGAACCTCCCAACTGACCTTCCTTCATTCTCTCCTTCAGCACTTCATCCAGGAATGAGCGCATCCACTCTAACATGGACAAAGAGTCCATGTCACCCAAATCGACACATAAACCCGCATCGATTCTGCCTCTATCCAAGGCACTTCTGGACTTTGTCCAGTTCCCACCTGAATGGAGGGTGGGGAGTACAGAACAGATAATCGCCAGACTAGAAGTCTGGGAATCGATAAGGAAGACCAAGGCACACAGTCAGTGCCTTGGGAACCCCAGATCTGGGGGACAACCATCATCGCATGGACTTAACATGTGCGATATTTCCCATCCTTCTTTGGATATGCGGGAGCAGAGGGGATTCTCCCAGAATATGGTGGAACGGCACCACATCGGGCCACAGGATGACCACCCGCACTCAGGGCCAGGTTCATCAGGTGGTGGGAGGTGGTCTAGCCAATTACCCTTTGGGAAGTCACCCATTGCCTGTCATATCCCGGAATCCCAACCCTGCACACTCCCACCACACCACACCTTCCTAACAACTTCACCATCCCCTACACCATGCCTCCCCACTCCCCAAGTCACCTTCCCTCCTGACTGTCTCAGCTCCGGTCTAGTTGCAGCACACTGAACCTTGGTCACTCCCATCCCGGAAGCTCAGTCCCAAGTCAGAACATTCAGAGACCCCAGATTTGCTCCGATATCCCAACGGGCCTCTGACATCCCATGACATACCCTTAAACCATTCCTCCACCCATTTCATTTATTTGAGTCACCCAACATCCTTTGGATACACAACTCCACTTTTGGAGTTACCCGCATCCTTCAGTGATCTCACCCACATCATCACTTATTAGTCACCTTCCATTCTTAGCACGACTATCTTCTTCTTATCATTCAGTTGGCTAACCCCCCCTTACCCATTTCTCATTCCCATTCATTTTCCGGCTTCTTACTCCGCCCTCCTTGGTCTGACACCTCGGTTCCCCATTAAAGATATCGTTCGGTACCTCTCGGTATCATTCGGCACCTTTCGGTGTTGTCCCATTTGTCATTCGGACTTTGACTAAGTCCTTTCCATTCCCCTTTATAAGTACCCGTAGATTAGAACCTGTAGTTCCTCAGTTCTAATCTCGACTGAAATGCCACCCAAAGTCCCTCTGAGTGAATCCTGTTCCCATTCTACAAGATACCTCAGACATAAGAAATACAAGGACTAACTGAGATGTAATAGAGGCACAGCGCTCCCTCTGAGTCGCTGAGGCTGCGTCCTTCTTAGAGCCTCTTGTACCACCCAGCAGAACTGGGCTCCCTGAGAAGCTTCGGTCCACTACCGGAGCCCTCGGACCCCCCTCTAGTTGAGCCCTGCCTGCATTCGGACTCACGCATTTACCCCTACGATCCGGGTTTTTGACATTGCTGAAGCAATGCCAACACCGGTTTTTCCTCTGGAAAAACCTCATGGTCTATCCATGAGAGAGAGAGATCACACTCTCTGTAACCTACTCTTGGGGAAAAATCCCCGAAAATCTTCAACTTTTTCCCTTTCATCATCTGAAAGGGATACCACTATACCGTCTACTCACTATGGGGAAACCCATAGTGATCCACCTGTCCAGCCAACAGATAAACCACCCCCAAGGGAGGTTAAATTCATCATCTGACTTCCAGATGATGTGACCTTACCCAATACTGGGTAAAACTGCTTCCTAGATCAGGAAGCAGGTGGAGCGATGCCAGGTCTCACAAGGCCAATCATTCCTTTGGCCATACCCTTATATGGCTAGACCACATTTTTTAAACCTAGACATCTGTCTAGGGGGGAGAACCCTTTACCTGAGGGCAAAGGATTTTTACTCATTATTTTATTTTATCACCTAGACACCAGTCTAGGGGGGAGAACCCCACAAAATTTGTGGAGGTAACTAACATTCATTTATTCTAGCCTCCATTCTATTATTTAAACTTTCCTAACAATACACATAACATTTCACTCACTTACCAATACACTCCTTTTTTTACTTTCTACTTTCTCCATTTCGTAAATTACCACATAAAATTGTCATGGAAAAGATTGTTTTTTCTTTTTTTTTCTTTTCTCTCTTTTCCTGTACCCTTTCCCTCTTTCTCTTTGTGTGCACTGACAAGCAACGCAAGGGGGGAGAGTGTCAGGTCACAGTCCATGTATGTAGGGGGTCATGTGACCCAGGGAGGTCACAATCGTCCTACCCACTGTGAATCATACATATTGATACTCACAGCTGGGTTCTAGGACACCCACCTTACAGAAACGCACAATTATTGATTTTTTTCAACACCAAAATCCCCCAGCATCATTCCCTCCTGATTCCCCAGTACCCAGGCCTGTGGACACCCAGACTGGCAGAAGCCACAGGGTACAACACACCACACTCAGCCCCCTCCTAGCCCAGCAATGATATCATCTCAAAGCCATCACCACAGTTTGGAGACTCCAAATTACACATGCAGTCCCTCTGAACCCACACCTGAACCCAGGCCAGAAAAGATCCCAACCCCCACTCCTGAACATAATGAGGTCTCCCCCCACTCCCAATCCCACTTTCTACCTCCAAAGAGAGACGATGCTACTGAGGCAGCACAAGATCTCAGTCAGACCCTTCAGCCATCATGCGATAAGGGGGATAGGCTACAAGAAAACTCACCTGGATCAAATGGTGGAAGTATGAGCACAGCAAATGCTCCAACTTCTCCAGATCTATGGCTCTGGGGGAAATGGAAGATGTGGAGACTTGGGCTGGGTTCATGCATCAACAATTGTCGCAAATGTATGAAATCAGGGAACTTCATATGCATCATGCTTGTGGAAATGGTGCCGGATGTTCATTCATGAGAGGAAATTGCCACAGATGAGGATCTCAAAGAGGAACTTGAGACTCACCTCCACGGACTTGGGCTGTACATCTCAGCAATGGATATTGTGGACTTCCTCAATGATCGGAGATGAAAGAGTGGTTGGAACATGACAAATCAGTGTCTGTTTGGACAGCTCAACGTTGGCTGCATATCATGGGATATCAGTGGCAACAGGAGAAAAGAGGCCAATACTCGGATGGCCATGAGCATGATGATGTTGTCCACTGTTGGCAGTCAGTTTTCCTGCCCCGAATGGCTGAGTATGCAAAGTTGATGAGGAAGTGGGATGAGAATGGGGATGAGGAAAGGTTGGATTTTTCTCCAGGCCAGCGGGTGGTTCTCTGGTTTCATGATTAATCCATCTTCTATGCACATGATTGCCGTAGGGTGCGCTGGGTCCATAATTCAGAAACTGCCAAGCCCTATCCTAAGGGAGAGGGTGCCTCACTTATGGTTGCCGACTTTATCTCTGCAGACTATGGTTGGCCCAAGGGTCATGATGGTTGTGCTGCATGTGTCATTCTCAAACCAGGAAAGAATAGAGATGGGTATTTCACTAATGAGGACATTCTTGCACAGGCATCTCAAGCTATGGACATTCTTCTTCAAGCATACCCCAACAAGAAACATGTCCTCATCTTTGACAATGCCCAGGCCATGCCAAGCATGCTAAAGACTCTCTCTGTGTGCTCAAAATTCCAAAGTTCCCCAAGGACTGGGGTGTATCTGTTTCTGCATGCAATGAACAAGGACAGATCATATATGAGAGCAATGGGAAACCACACATAATCAAGAAGTGGATGGCTGATGCATTGTTTGACAGCCAGCCACAAAGTCTTTACTACCCAGACAATCACCTGACCTATGCCGGAAAGTTTAAGGGTATGGCCAAACTTCTAGAGGAGTGGGGCTATACATCCCAGCTTCCAGCTGAATGCAAGGGATTCAAATGTGTCAGGGTTCAGCACCCTGCCTGTTAAAGAAATGGGTTAAGGGCAATCCATTTCTTTCCATCCTTATAGACGACTTGGAATTGTCCACCTCATGTATGTAGGGTGGCCTAGTCGTGTAATTAGAATTGTCCGATAGCCTTGAAGCTTTTGACAGAAAGCTGAGACCTCATGATGAATGGGAGTCTGTGTCAAAAACCCATGATGGAAAGGGGGGTAAATGCGTGAGTCCGAACGCAGGCAGGGCTCAACTAGAGGGGGGTCCGAGGGCTCCGGTAGTGAACCGAAGCTTCTCAGGGAGCCCGGTTCTGCTGGATGGTACAAGAGGCTCTAAGAAGGACGCGGCCTCAGCGACTCGGAGGGAGCGCTGTGCCTCTGTTACGTCTCAGTTAGTCCTTGTATTTCTTATGTCTGAGGTATCTTGTAGAACAGGAGCGGGGTTCACTCAGAGGGACTTTGGGTGGCATTTTAGTCGAGATTAGAACTGAGGAACTACAGGTTCTAATCTACGGGTATTTGTAAAGGAGAATGGGGAGGACTTAATCAAAGTCCGAAATGACAAATGGGACAACACCGAAAGGTACCGAATGATACCGAGAGGTACCGAAAGGTCCCGAACGATATCTTAATGGGGAACCGAGGTGTCGGGCCAAGGAGGGCGGAGTTGGAGGCCGGAAAATGAATGGGGAAGACAAATGGACAAAGGGGGTTAGCCGACTGAATGAAAGGAAGAAGGTAGTCGTGCTAAGAATAGAAGGTGACTAATAAGTGATAACGTGAGGGAGATCACCGAAGGATGCGGGTAGCTCCGAAAGCGGAGTTGCATATCCGAAGGATGTTAGGTGACTCAAATAAATGAAATGGGTGGAGGAGAGGTTTAAGGGCATGTCACGGGATGTCGGAGGTCCGTCGGGATATCGGAGCAAATCCGGGGTCTCCGAATGTTCCGACTCGGGACCGAGCTTCCGGGATGGGAGTGGCCAAGGTTCGGTGTGCCACAACCAGACCGGAGCTGAGGCAGTCAGGAGGGAAGGTGACTTGGGGAGTGGGGAGGCATGGTGTAGGGGATGGTGAAGTTGTTAGGAAGGTGTGGTGTGGTGGGAGTGTGCAGGGTCGGGATTCCGGGATATGACAGTCTGTTATGACAGATACTTGGCACTCGTTACGTGAGCATACCGTGCATGGGTGTATAGGATCACAGGTTGAGAGAATGTCCACAATGGGACTAGTCGAGGACATAGGGCTAGCGGGTACTTGGCGCTCGAGGGAGCGTACCAGTAGCGAGTGAGATAACGGCTCCTTGAGGGAGCTTCCTGAGATTTGGTTGATGGGCACTTGGCACCCAATTGGGTGTACCAGCAATGAGTGATGTTCTAGCTCCTTGAGGGAGCTACTAGAGGCTGGGTTGACGGATACTTGGTGCCCAGATGGGCATACTGGCAACGAGGTATGAGACCGTTCATCTGGCAAACGGTCTGTATTCATGTCAACGGGTACTTGGCACTCGTAAGAGCGTACCGGTGACGGAGGGGTTAGTCAATCATAGGTCGAACGACATGTGGTGGGTTCGACGGCTAATTGGCACTCACGAGAGCGTACCAGCGACGAGGGGAAGCTTGTATCGAATACCAATCCATCTGTAGAATTAACCAGATGCTCACCGTAAGGTGAGACAGACGTGAGCCCAGTACCTGGGCGAGTGACGTGAGTCGTAACAAAAGGTGTTCACGCATACCTGAGTTGAGTCACACATGAACTCGATGATCTGTGGCTAGAGTCGTCAACC